TTTTATTTGTTTTGTTGTTGTTACTGTAGTAAACTTTGCTCCTTTCTCCGCCTCCATCGTCGTTGTTGTTCCTTTTTTTGTTTCTGGTGTTTTTTTTATTAATATCAAGCATTTTTGATATTGTTTGCATAGCAATGCCTGAAACGTGTGGAGAAAGTTTAAATATTTTCCCTGGCAGTGTCGGAAATGAATGTCTGTTTGTTTGTACACACTGCTGCCATGGTGTCAAAACATGTTTATGTATGTGCCGCACAAAGTTGATCGTTTTTAGTTTTTTTTTTTTATTTTGCCTAAAATTAAAATGCCTTAGATTGTTGGGGAAAGAAAAACCTAAAATTATTCAAATATATTTTCAATGCCATCTCGGAGAAATGTTTCACCTGAATTTAAAGGAAGTTGTGACTCGAAAGTTTTTAATACTTTATCACAAAATATTTTTCAAATTGGGTTATATGTAATAATATTAAATGGAGAACGAGAGGAGGGGAGTGGGATATTTTATTATCTCTTAAAGTTTTGTATTTAAAGAAAATCATGAATGACCTGTGATACCGAAAACATAGACATAAATACTTAACGACACGACAAAATATATTTTAAAAAATGGTTTGTGTCTGTTATTTGCGCCGGAATGTATGGGAAAAGTTCCCTCCTCTTCCAAATTTCTTGAAAATTTCCGATTTTATATTTCTTGGGATCCGTTGATTTGAGGTATATAGAATATAAAATACAAGTATTATTTTGGTTTAAAATTTTAACCTGCAAGCGAGTCTGTCTGTCTTTTTAGTCCTTTTTTGATAATATGGTTACAACTCCTTTTTAACGGGGTTGCAGCAAGTCAAAATATTCTAAAATATTATTTATCATAAAATTCTACTATGGGTCCCAGGAAACATCAAAATACCCTTTATTTGAAAAATTTGCCTTATTGGGACGAAGGGCATTTCTGAATTGATATTTTACAATTTACCTTTCGAGCCTTAATAATGGCACTAAAAATTGGAATTTAGCGGTACCATGTATCCAACAAGTATGGACGCGTTTCGCTATTTTTAGTATCTCCTATTTATTCTTGGGCCATTAATAGCTCAATTCGAAAGGGAAATCATATAAATTCTTGTATTTCCTTGTTCCTTCAGAGAAATTCCGATTACAGTAGTTTGAAATATAGTTACATTCAAAACAGAACACTCTAGTGGCCAATATCGAGGCATAATAAAATAGAGGAAGCGTGAGATACCAGATATAGGCGACCGTTGTATTCAATTTTCATGCTTCATCTAATACATATTAAAATATTGGTATGGGCAATATTACAAGAAAATCGAACACTTATATCCAATTTTATGCGAAATCATAAATTCCATATTCATCTCAGGTTTCTGGTTAAGAGAAATATTTAGATATAGCAAGATGCAAAGAATCGATGACTTGTTTCGCAAGTTATGACAAATGAAAATGTTGAAAATTGGGATACATTGCGGATGAGATACCAGAGCTTTTGTTAGTAAAAATGTCTTTATGTGTGAAACTTAAAGAGAGAGTTAGATGCTTATATCGCTTTCTTTGAGCGTTTGGTTTTTCAAAACTTTGAACCCCATGTGGGGGAGGTACCAGAAGATATTGTCCGATCGCTTCCATCTTTATAACAGATCTTGTGTTGATGGAAATATTGAGATGTACCAAGTCTTGAATGGAATCGGATCTGAATTTCGCGTTTTATGAGTGCCATTGATATTCAAAATTTTAACCCTTGTGGGGGAGATACCAGAAGGAGTAGATCGATATATCTCATCTACACAGCAGATCTTGTGTTAGTAGAAATAATGGGATGTGTGAAAAATGAAGATAGGATGCTTATTTCGTATTTTATAATCGTTTTGCTTTTTCATCACTTTGACCCCTTATGGGGGAGGTACCAAAAGGAATGGTCCAATCTCTACAATCTTTAAAACATAACTTGTGTTGATGGAAATATTGAGATGTGCCAAGTCTGAATAGAATCGGTTGGTAATTACGCGTTTGAGCCTGACGGGTATTCAAAATTTTGATCCTATGTTGGGGAGGTACTAGAAGAATTGGACAAATATATTCCATCGTCACACCAGACCTTGGGTTAATAAAACTATTGTGAAATTTGTAATTTTAAAACCATCGGACTCTTACGTCAGATTTTATGAAGTTTAACATTGTTCAACAATTTAGAACGTTTGTGAGGGAGGTAATTGATGGAGTGGACCGATATTGTCCATTTTTGCACCTGATCTAGCAATGATGCAAATATTAGGATTTGCAATGTTGGAGCCAATTCGGATTATCCTTTCTCTATCTGTGCAATAAATTATTATTATTATTAATATTTGCGACCTTTTGTGGGGAATTATCAGAAGTAGTGGACCGATATTGCCCATCTCTGAACTCGATCTAAACTTGATAACAATATTACGATATTATTTTGATGATGCACGTTTTGGCTGTATCAACTGATACTGAACTGATAAAGAAGTACCATCGCTATAGTTATAGTCATGGGGTACCTTTACCCAAGGGCTGTAACAAAACGTTGACCTTTATTCATAATTTTTATACCCTCCACCATTCTATGGAGGGTATTTTAACTTTGTCATTACGTTTGTAACTCCTCGAAATATTCATTATAGACCTTACAAAGTATATACATTCTAGATCAGCGTAACATTTTTAGACGGTCGAGCGATGTCCGTCTGTCTGTTGTCATCACGCTATATTTTGAACGAATTGAGATAGAAGGCTAAAATTAAGCACAGATTCATAGTTACCAGTAGGCAAGTTAAGTTCTTAAGTGGGCTATGTCGGTCCACGTTTTCGTATAGCCCCCATACAACGGTACCTCTCGATATTCGATATTTTCTTGATTTTAGCGAATTAACGGAATTATTTAAAATTTCGTATTTGAAGTTCGTAATGGATACTACAGCCTATGACAAAAATTTTTGTATGCATTTCAAAGTCCTCGTTTAGCCCACATATAACGGTACCTTCCGATATTCGGTATTTTGATGATTTCAGCAACATAACCGGAATCGTTTCAAATTTCGTACTGGAAGATCCTAATGGGTACTACAGCGTATGGTAAAAATTTTTGTATGCAGGTTCAGATCTTCGTATAACCCCCATATAATCTTCCGTTATTCGGTATTTTCATGATATTAGCGAAATTATTCACCCTAATTGCAAAAATTTCGTATTTGAAGTTCGAAATGGGCACTACAACCTATGACAAATAATTTTGTATGCAGGTCTACGTCTTCGTATTGTCCCAAAATAACGGGTTTTCATTTAGGTGGTAGTTTTCTTGTTTTTTTTTTTTTTTTTTTGAAATTTTGCAATTTCCTTAGCTGCTTTTTTGCTAGCTTGCTGGTAGCTTTTATGCATAATAAGGACTCAAAAATACAACAAGTCGGCGAAATTATATGGAAAATATGATTAAAACGTTAAAAGTACAAAAAGGGATAATATCAACGATCTCTTTACATTTTTAAAGCTCCATTAAATTGTGCGAATTATATCAAAAAATATTAGGGTCATTTGTATATTTTCAAGGAAATATTAAGGCATTTGGATTAAGATCTCCAAATCCTTTTTGAGGATTTTATATACGAGCTGAGTATTATTAAATCCACTTTGTGTTTTCCACAATCCAGACTGACTGTTGATCAGTGAATATAAGAAAATTTGTAATAAATTCCGAAAAAGTGCTAAATTTTCCAAAAATAGTGTACTTTTTTCTATAAACCAAATAGTTGACTTGTTACGATTTCGTCTATTACCATACTTATATAGAAATAGATCAAACACACCTCTTTGCTGACTAGCTTGATTATCGAAATTTTGAATAGAAATAATCCCCGTATTTTTGACAGTAATACAGCTACAAACACTACATTCATAAAATGTATGGATTCCAAGGTATCCTAATCTGAAAATTTGACAGAATTTGGAAGAAGTTGGATCTTATCCCCTCTATCTAGGCTACTTTTTGATGTAATCTTTCAAAACGCCAATACAAGTTGCTCCTACTTTCAGTTCTATTTCCATAATCTACAACATTTTTCCTTTTTCTTTTCCTATTTTTTTGTGTGGCACAGTGTTATCATTGATAGTAGGGCTGAAAGTGACATATGTTCCTATCAAATTAATACTGGGTATTGTACGGCGATGAACTTTTCGAAACCTTGAGCAGAAGAGTGCCGTTTTATTTGTGATGTGAAATCATAGATTTTTTAATGAACGAGATCGATGATTTCCAATACTTCTTCCCTCTCTTTTCACAAGGATATCTTCTTTAGGAGGATCACAATGACATGAAAGGATTCGGAATGTAATCCTTATAATCAATATATAAAATTATAGATCAGAAAACAAGTAAAACAGCTGTAAGTTCGGCCGGGCCGAACTTTGAATACCCTGCACCATTTGGTACAAATTTGGCAATTTTCAAAAAATAAAATCCGTTAAAAATTTTGTTAAAATCTTAAAAATACCGAAAGTAGCCGTATATTAGGGTCTATACGCTGACGTGGACCTGCATAGGCAACTTTTGTCATAAGCTATTAGAATATTCAAATGCGTTATCGAAGACGTGGACCTGAACAATCAATATGCTGTAGTATCCATTACGAACTTCAAATGCGAAATTTGATACAATTCTAATAAAAAATGTCGCTAAAATCGTCAAAATACCGAATATCGGGGGGAACCGTTATATGGGGGATATACGAGGACGTGGACCTGCACAGATAATTTTCCGTCATAGGCTGTAGTATTCATTATGAACTTCAAATATCAAATTTGAAATAGTTCCCGTAAATAATGTCGCTAAAATCATCAAAATACCGAATATCGGGGGTATTGTTATATGGGGGCTATACGAAGACGCGGACCTGCACAAACAATTTTCTGTCAAAGGCTGTAGTATTCATTATTCATTCTTACTAAACATTTTCTCAAAACAGAAATTGCGATTGCCCCAAGAATATATGGCTTGCCAAAGATCCACAAAGACGGCTATCCATTAAGACCCATATGTTCGTCTATAAATTCCCCGTCAATAAAACTGTGCAAATACATAGTAAACATATTAAATAATTTGACGACAAAATCAGTTTACAACGTAAGGGATTCTGTGCAATTTAGGGATAAGATAAAGAACCTGACAGTTAATAATAATGAAAAAATGGTTTCATTCGACGTGGTCTCACTGTTCCCAAGTATTCCAGTAGAATTAGGACTAAATATAATTGAAGAAAGATGGGAAGAAATAGAACAATATACAAACATAACCAAAGACATGTTTCTGAATATTGTAAAATTTTGCATAAAGGACAACAGATACTTCAAGTTTGATGACAAAATATACAAACAAAAAGCAGGGCTACCGATGGGATCTCCAGCATCACCCATAATTGCAGATTTGGTTATGGAATCACTGCTCAACGAAAGCTTGCAAAGATTACAATCAAAACCAAAGATACTGACGAAATACGTGGATGATTTGTTTTTAATTATAAGGGAAGATGCAATACAAGAAACGCTGACAGTACTAAATAGTTTCAACAAAAACATTAAATTTACTTTGGAAGAAGAATGCGACGGAAAAATCCCATATTTGGACACATTAGTAATAAGAAATGCAGATAATACGATAAATATAAATTGGTATCAAAAACCTACAGCGTCAGGTAGAATAATAAATTACTACTCTAAACACACAAAACGAACAATTATCAATACAGCGAAAAACTTAATAAATAGAGTACTAACAATAAGCGACGAACAATTTCATTTCCAAAACAAATTAAAAATAAAAGACATTCTAATTAATAATAACTTCCCATTACATATAACCAAATCCCTAATTGAAAATTATTATAAGAATAAACATTCAAGTCGAGATTCGCAGAAAACAGACCCGCCGAAGATATACAAATCCCTGATATATTTACCGAATATATCAGAAAGATTGGAAAAGTCAGAAATATATGACAAAAATAAATACACAATAGCACATAGCTCACATAACACAACAAAATCTTTATTCACAAACATGAAAAGTAAAATACCAAAAATGGACAAACATAATGTAGTTTACAAAATTGAATGTGGTGGTAACAAGGAAGAAAGTTGCGGAAAACATTACGTTGGCACAACAAAAAACAAACTAAAAACTAGGATGTCAGCACACAAATCAGACATCAAATTAAGAAACAATAATTCGATACAAAAAACAGCGTTAGCCGAACACTGTAAACAGTACAACCATACACCCAAGATCGATGACGTGAGAGTGTTACAAACGGAACATCACTACAACAAGAGACTAACGATAGAGATGCTTCACATCAATAGTTTATCAACAACAAAGAGAATAAACAGCAAAGCAGACACGGACAACACAGCTTACTGCTACAGGCATTTAACAAAAAGAGATCGTGCAATATGCAAATAATTATCAGTGCAATAGTAACACTTGACGGTAGTAGTCACACTACGCTAGTTTTAAGTTTATTATTTTAATTATTTGCAAGTAAGCGTTTTTTTACATGTTTATGTCCTGTGCTGTGATAATGTTAATATGTTGTATGTTTTGTTATTTAATTTGTAGATCACCCTGAAGATGAAACTCAAAGAGCTTCGAAATATTGGAAAAAGAAAAATAAATAATTAAAAAACCAAAAAGTTTGACCTCAAGCTCAAATAATTGTTTTTATTAACATTCTTACTAAATTTAAATTCGTTCCGGTCAATAATAGCTCTAAAATCATCAAAATACCCAATATGGGGGGGTACCGTTATATGGGGGCTATACGAAAACGTGGACCTAAATGACCCATTTTCAATACCAAAAGTCCTGCAGACATAATACAAATTTGAGTAAATTTTTATCGACTTACTTCATTTTTTTCGGAAGCTAGAGTGATTTACACAGACGGACAGACGGGCGGACATTGATAAATTTAAAATTTTACGCTGATCAAGAATATATATTCTTTGTGGTGTCTAAAATGTATATTTCGTGGTGTTACAAACGGAACGACAAACTTAATATACCGCCATACTATGGTGGAGGCTATAAAAACTAACTAACTAACGCTACAAAACTGTCCTCAGACCCATGGCAACTTGTTGTTTATAGAATCCAAAATATTTTGATCTTCTACAACTCAACATTTGTCCATTTCATGTGAAATGACATTTATCGCCTACAAATTTCTATTGGCGTTGATGAAAAATGTAATCTTTTACGAGACCATTTCAGCTTTAGCTCTCAATAAATAAATATTCAATAGAACTGCAGATAGAATATCCATTCCACAGATATCAGTCATTCATCCATCTATCTATCCATTCAGCCATCCATCCATTCATTCATATTAATAACGTTGACATGGATTTTGTTTACAAATCCAAATATGAATATTAATGGAAGTGATTTGTTTTCCGGAGAGAGATAGAGAGAGAATGGGAGAGAGCAGCAGCAGCTTGTGAATTATATTGCGTTATTGATGTAAAAAAACTCTTGTCTAACAAATCTACAAGGACTAGAGGACTTGTGTGCGAACATGTTTGTATCTTTTTGTGTGAGCATATTTGAGGAAGAAACGAAATGACACCCTAGAAATTTAAGGCCTCTCTTAATGTGAAATGATGACAAATCGTCAATCAACATATTTCACACTTCTAGCTTTTATTTGTTTTTTCAGTTTTCTTTTTTTTTTCTGTATACATTTGTCTGTAAGTAGACGATTTCAATGTTGAACATGATGCGTTGGCACAGTGTCACAGATGACATGGTCGCAACAAAATAAAATGTTAAACAGAGTAGATAAGTCACATAAGATTCTGAAGTTTTTTCGTTTAAATACAAAAATAAAAACTTGTATCAGAAGTACAGTGTCAAGAAATTAGATTTGCAAATACGCCAGAAAGCCACAATTTTAAGGAAATATAAGGCAGTGGTTGGAAACCACTGTGCCGATGCTACATTCATTCCTACAGTTGGTAAATACATTAACAAATGTTGATGATTCGCTTTTGGGAAGACAGCTTTTTTAGGTTGACATTGCTGCTAATGTTGGTGCGGCAGAAATTCCTTTAGGCCTTACAACTGCTTTTGGTAGTTATAGTAAAAAAAGACGATGAAATCTACATTGGTAGATCATTTTATTAGAAATAACTTTTTCTGAACCGTGGATTTAATGGCACTTGATGTTGAATGGGCCAAAATGTGATTAACTCAAAAAACTGCAACCAACATCAGGCTGGTGTCATTTCTAAGCAACTCGTCCGACAGTTCTTAAAATTATTCCAGTGAAAGCTCATTATATTGTTTATATTATATTGTATTTATATCATATTGTTTATAAGCGTTCAAAAGTATTTTGGTGAGAATTTTCAAGAAAAGAAATTATTCGTAATTTAATTTAAGCGTGATAGTGTGATTTCTTTATATTTGGCTGAAAAACACAAGTGGCTATCGTTAGAGCACTCCAGCATTTAAATGTTAGTAAATCTTTTGTGTCTCGTACCATCGCTCGTTACCGTGATACTGTTAGCGTAGCCCGACGTCAAGGAAGTGGACGTAAGAAAACAGTAACATCAGCAGAAACGGTTCGAAAAGTAAAGAAGCGACTTGATCGAAACCCGCGTCGCAGTGGCCGAAAAATGGCTCGTGAGCTGAACATATCGCAATATTTCATTCGGCAAATATTGAAAAATGAGCTCGGGGTAAAGCCCTTGAAATCTCAAAAAGTGCAAGAACTTACATCGCAACAGAAAGAAAATAGACTCAAAAGAGCTAAAGAGTTGCTTCTTTGGCCGAAAGTGGTGAACTGCCGAATTTGTTTTTTTCCGATGAGAAAATATTGGTTGTCCAGCAGTTTGTAAACGAACAAAATGATCGTGTTTACTTGCCAAAGAGGTCAGCTAAAAATGTGCACCTTCGGTTGAAAACCAGAACTGAATCGCCGGCCATGGTGATGGTGTGGGCCGCCGTAACACCCAATGGTCGCTCTCCGACCATGGCATCAGAATAAATGCCGAATATTATCGCGAAAATATTCCTTGGGCACGCAAAATGTTTGCCGCAGACCTTGGACATTCCAACAGGGCTCAGCACCATCGCACTCAGCACGCGCCACCCTAGAATGGTTGCGGAATGAGGTTCCTCGCTTCATTTTCAGCGCATAATGGCCACCAAATTCTCCGGATACCAATCTGTTGGACTGTTGGGTCGAAGTATTTTGGAAATCAAGGTTGGCACTAAAAACGCCAAAGTGTCGATCACCTCAAGCAAGCGCTTCGCCGGGAATTAGCCAAAATAGCGCAGAGCAATATTCGGGTAGCGTGTAGCGGTTTCATTGGCCGTTTGAAGGCCATAATTCGTGCCAAAGGTGACCAATTCGAACAAATCTAAACTTATTCTAAAATTTGATGCTATTTCCGATATTTTTTGATTTCCATCAATAAAATTAAAAAAGAAATAAAAAATATGGAGTTAGACTTTTTTGCAGTTTTTTTATCTCACCCTGTATTTCGATTTCAGATTTCGGGACCTACGTTTCAATTTGGTGGATCTCGGCTCCGATGTATTTTTTTAATATAATCCTCTTTGAAGTGATACCCTACACTCTATAGCAATGTTATTTGGTATAATATATTAAAATGTCTCCGTCAAATTTAGTGAAAATCGATTCAGAATCGGATGTGCCTCCCATGTATTAGTTTCCCCTGAAGCCAAACTATAACTGCTTTAAAGCCAAATGTTGATAGTTGGGATATGATCTACTTCAAATAAATTTTTATTTTACGGGAGCTCTACTAAATATGCATTGTGGTGTAGGGTATCACATAGTCCTTATTGGTTTAAATTAATGTTTTCTACATACTGGCAACTTAAACTACCGATTTATAGCAAGTTAGGTGTAAAATTATGTCAACAATATCCAAATAACCTTAAATCCATTTTAAAATACATTTGAATACAATTTTATCAACATACTTTATTTCGCTCGGAAATAAGAGTGATTTAAACAGCTGGAAAAACATGTAAACTCTCAGACGAACATTGCTGAGTCAACATAGGATGTTATGCTGATACATCGAACTCTTGTTACAATACTGGAAATATTGTAGAGTTTTTAGAATATTGCACTTAAATTTAGTACAGTGTTAGAACTAATATTACTAATAGTAATACCTAATTATATTAAATATTGACTTTTTTATCACGAAAACATCTTCCTTAAAACAACACAAAGTGAGAAAATATGTCTTAAACTTTTTGTTATTATACAGTTTCTCTTCATTTCGTTTGTATTTAATTTATTTAAATTTTCTTCAGTTCCACGACGGACTTTGTCTCCCCTTTGTTTCTTTTTTTCATCATCATCCTCATCACCATGTAAATCAACATCATGAGGGGTCGAAGTTTAACTTCACACTCTCTTTTTTACTCATTAAATGTTTGCACAGCTAGCAACAGAGCGGAAATGACAAAATATTTTGGGTAACGGAAATGAGAAAATATTTGTCATTTCTCTTACTCTCAATTCATATTTGTTATGTGTGTGTGTGTAACAATGTGTGGATGCTGTGGCAATCAAATATCGGATGAGAGTAGAGTTAGAGACCAACAAATATTGAAATTTTCACATTTGAATATGAAGTTAATAACGAAGGGAGAGACAAGCCAGGGAGGAAGTATTAATGCTCTCAAATTTAACGCAAAGATAGAGATCCTGTTGGAGACGTTATAAGTTTTTAAATGACACAAATTAGTCTCATAAAAAATATGTGTAGATCGTATTTGTATCTAATCGAAAGTATTAAATTTCTACTTGAAACAAAAGGGACATTTGCGGCTGTTATTATTTACCACAGGGTGAGATGAAAAAACTGCAACCAACTTCAGGCTGCTGTCTTTTCTAAGCCACTCGTCCGACAGCTGTTAAAATTATACCAGTGACACTTATTATATTGCTTACAAGCGTGCAAAAAGCATTTTGGTGAGAATTTTCCAGAAAAAAAGTTATTCGTGATGGACTTCAAACGCGATAGTGCGATTTCCTTACATTTGACTATCGTTTAAAAAAAAACATTATTATTATTATTATTATTATTATTATTATTATTAATAATAATATTATTATTATTATTAATAATAATATTATTATTATTATTATTATTATTATTATTATTATTATTATTATTATTATTATTATTATTGTTATTATTATTTTTATTATTATTATTTTTAATACTTTTATTATTATTATTATTATTATTATTATTATTATTATTATTATTATTATTATTATTATTATTAATATTATTATTATTATTATTATTATTATTATTATTATTATTACTTTTATTAAAATTATTATTATTATTGTTATTATTATTATTATTATTATTATTATTATTATATTATTATTATTATTATTATTATTATTATTATTATTATTATTATTATTATTACTATTATTGTTATTATTATTATTACTATTATTATTATTATTATTATTATTATTATTATTATTATTATTATTATTATTATTATTATTATTATTATTATTATTATTATTATTATTATTATTACTTTATTAAAATTATTATTATTATTGTTATTATTATTATTATTATTATTATTATTATTATATTATTATTATTATTATTATTATTATTATTATTATTATTATTATTATTATTAT